CCTGAGCACAAGGAGATGCAGGGAGTTTTGTTAAGTGATGGAGCTAGAATCAACACAACAGTTATTCAAAAGGTACTCTTAGAGCTTTACTGAGTTATACACACTGGTCTATGTTCCTCTTCTCTCCCTCTGGGTATCATTCCAAGCCCCTTAACCCTCTTGATCTAAGATGTCTTCATAGCAGCACTGTCAAACAGAAATAGTCTGAGTCAGAAATATAATTTAAAAATTGCTACCGGTAGTAGTCATATTAAAAAGGCAAAATGAAATAGGCAGAATTAATTTTAATAATGTGCTTTGTGTAACCCACTATATAAAAAAATACTATAATGTTATATAATCATATAAAATTACTAATGAGATATTAGAAGCAACTCAGGATATGAGCAATACAATACAGTGCAATACAATATCATTTGTAGTCCTTACAAACAATATAAACTTGTGGCTCATGGCAAAATATTTTATACTAGTTCAGTTTTACCTTTTTAATTAAAATTAATTAAAATAAAATAAATTAGTTCCTGGGTTGTGCTAGCCACATTTCAAATGCTCAACAGCCATTTGTGGTGCGTGGCTATCATATTGAACAGTGCAACTGAACAGCAGAACTTATTTTATTCTCTGTTGGCATGCTCTTCTCTTGAGCTTTTCCCCACCCCTTTCCTCAAGGGCCTTCTTTTACTTCTGTAACTTGTTTCCTGAGCCCATGCAGCCCAGCTGGCTCACTTCTTTCTTCCTCTATGACTTTCCTTAAAAAAAAAAAAAATATCCTATTGGTTTTCCACAGACAGGAAGGAAGAGGGATATAGAGAGCTAGAAATGTCAATGAGGGAGAAATATCAACCAGCTGCCTCCTGCACACCCCCTAACTGGGGATGTGCCCGCAACCGAGGTACATGCCCTTGACCAGAATTGAACCTGGGACCTTTTAGTCCGCAGGCCAATGCTCTATCCACTGAGCCAAACCAGTTTCGACCCTCTATGACTTTCTAAATAAACTTTCTCTTATAATTTGAAAAAAAAAAAAAAAAAGTTTGTATTCTGTTTCCAAAAGCTCAGGGATTCCAAAAGCTCAGGGATTCCCAGATATTCCATTAGCACCCCTAACTTCTCTCAACCCCCATGTCATCTTCCCTGCCTAGCCCAGGGCTGCCATAGTACAGCTGTGCTAGTTATACACTGCAAAACTCTGGGGTGCCATTCACATTGTCCATATGGTAGATTTGTTTATTTACTATGGCAGTTTCTGGAAAGATGGAAGTAAACTTTTTAAAGGAAGAGATTCTTTTTCCTAATTCATGCAAATGTGGTTTTTTTGGGGGTGAGATAGAGTGGGTGCGGGGTGACTGGAGCCCTTCTGTTCCTTCCCAGCATTCCAACAGTTGGGCCCAGGCATTGTTCTCTTGTACACTCAGCACTGACCCAGTGCCCACATCCTGTGGTTGAAAGTAAGGAAGCAACTTCAGTCAACCTGTCCGCTTCTCCCCCAAATAGTGTCACAAAGCTTCATTGTAGTCACTCTTCATGGTAGTTTACCTTGGAGTCCTATGTCTTTTTTTTTTTTTTTTTTTTTTTTTTTTTTTAAAGCTTTTATTTTTTATTTTAAAAAAACATTTAAAGTTATGTTTTTATTGATTTTTTAAAGAGAGAGGAAGGGAGAGGGACAGAGAGATAGAAATATTGGTGAGAGAGAAATGGAGCCATATGTCTTACTCATAATCATATCTCTAGTTCCTGACACAAATAGGTGCTTAACTCATTTATCGATGTGAATTTGTATCTCAGTGTCCATTCAGGCCCCCCCTGTATTGTGCCCTCAGTTTCCCTTAGTGAAACGAGACCTGGGGCTGATTTATCCAGATGCCGACATGGCTGTCTTTCACCTCATCACAGCTCACCCTTTGTCTTAAATAAAAATAATTGCCATTCTTTTTATTATTACTAACAGGAACTACCATTTATTGATCACTTTGTGTCAAGCATTACGCCTAGCCATTTATGTACATTATTTTATTTAATCTTTCCAGGCATCTCAAGGAGGTAGGCACTATTATCCCCATTTTATAAGGAGGAAATGGAGGCACTGGGAAATGAAGTAATTTACCCGAGGTCACACAGCTATTACGTGTCAAAGCTAAAATTTAAAACCAGTTCTGTCTGACTTCAAAGCCCTTCTGTTCTTTAACTAGCAGGACGAGGCTTCTCTTTTGGGATCTGGAACCTGACTGACAAATGACCACTCTGGAGGACTTACTGTTTTCCCAGACTCCTTCCTCTGGGGCATGTCTTCCTCCCAGTCCGCGTGGTTTGGGTGGGGTACACGCTAACCCCAGGCGTGGCCCTTTAACTCAGCTTTGGCCAATCTGAGAACGGTGTCCACCTGACCGAGTGGTTGGTTCTGAGGTTAGCCCATGGCGGAGGGTCACTCCAACCAGGCTCCTTTTCGGCTCCAGTTTAGGAAAGGAGGCATTATTTTCCTCTGGGAATTTTTTTGCTGCTAACAGGCATCCTCAAACTTTTTAAAGTGGGGGCCAGATCACGGTCCCTCAGAGAGCTGGAGGTCCAGACTATATGAACTACTAATTCCTACTGTAACACCTCGGCTGCGCTCACTGCCCAAAAAACCTGGCGGGCCGGATCAAACTCCTCTGCGGGCCGCATGTGGCCCGCGGGCCGTAGTTTGAAGACCCCTGAGCTAGAGTGAGGGACCCTGGAGCTCCTAGTGGCCCTCTTTCCCTTCTATACAGGAAGATGTTTGAAGTAGGGGAGGATGACTGAGGCCGGCACGCAGTGGGGAGCAGCAGGGAGTGGTGGTGGGAGCACAGGCAGCACCATGTGAACCCTAGGATTCAGGTGTGGCCAGAAGCATTCCAGGACTTCTCTGTCACGTGAGCCAGCCATTTCCTTTCGTTGTCTGCTTCAACCTAGTTACTTGCGGTTGAAGGAGCCTGCCGGATATGCATACTTTTCAGAAGATGACTTTTTCTGTTGTGGATTCCACACGGCCATTCTCTATCTACTTTTGGGTGAGCTCACTCCTCCTTGGGCCTTGGTGCCTGCTGTTGCCTGTGGCATGCCCGGAGGCCTGGGATCCCTGTGAATTGTTCCTGATGGACTTCCTCTCTTTTAGGCCTGTGAACCCTGCCCTAGTGAAAGGAGATACCACACCTAACCCTTCCTCACACGCCCTCCACCCTTCCCTCACACAAGATGAAGAACTGTGCCATGAGCATTAGAGAAATCTGTTCTTCATAGACATTGGAAAAATTACTCATCAGCCTCCTTTTGAATGCTGATCAAAAACTGTTGAACGCCTAACTCATCTGGCCTCTGACACCAGCTGGGATCTCAGCCAGCGTTGGCCATGGTTTTGCCTCTTTTCCTTGGCTCCCAACCTTTCTGATCAGCTGTTTTCTTATGAGCTCTCCACTCCCCTATGATTCTGAACTTCCATCCTTCCACTGGCTTCCTCCCAAATCTTTCCGGGGCCCCTCTGAGAGCATTGTTCCATTGTGAATCAACTCTCCCACACCCCCAGCCTCCGCACAGAATGAGAACACTCTTTCTCTGCAGCTCTCTCTGCTGTGGCCTTCCTCTGGCTTTGCTGTGCCGCCTGCAGGTCATAAAAAGCCCCTTTTCCTAATTTAGAGGGCAAGCGATTCATGCAAATAACCTCCTGGTCTCCCCCTTTGCCACCAACCTCTTGGGCATTGTCCCTGAAGACTTACCTGGTTCCTGGTCTTCTCTCCCAACTCTGCCATCTCTGCACCCATAACTTTATATGTCTAAGACTAACTTTATATGTCTCAGATGAGTGGTGCAGTTGCCTGGGGGCAGTAGAAGGGAGTCATTCATTGTGGTACGAGTGGAAAATAAAGGAGATTTCACGAAAGAGATTACTTGTGATCTGGATCTTAAAAAATGAATAGGATTTCAACAGGTGATCTTTTAGGCAGAGAGAACAACTCAAGCAAAAGCATGGAGATATGAAAATGTCGGGACATTTACTTGCTTGAGCACTTGGAAATAAGTAGTAGGAAGGGAAGAGGAATATGACATGATTATATTTACTTAAAATTAAGGCATGATCCTAAGGAGGGTTCAATGTGGAGAATGCAAAGGAAGAAACAGACTTTACTACAAAAGGGAGAAGAAGTACTTTGGAAACTTTTCAGAGGTGGGATGATATTGTCAATGACAAGATCAAAAGTTTGCTGGGTTGATTGTAAAGGGAGAAGGGGAGTAATTAAAACAGTTTAAGAAAGTTTATAATATGACTACAGAGGCAGAGAGAAACAGTAGTGGAAGAAGGGGTGTGAGGGGGCAGGGAGCAGAGTTGAGAAACCTGACTAGACACCTGCTGCTTAGGAGATGGGCGAGATTGAGGCCCTGCCTGGTGATGGGAGATTTGAAGATGTAGGATGCTGGGAGAAAACAGCTGCATAGTAGATATGAATCAAATTAGTTGGTCTTTTAATTACCTTTATGCATAAAGATAGGAAACTTTATTTCATGACGGTAAAAGTGACTTAAATTATGTAAGCTTAAGATGTTTCTCAAACTGATTTATAGAAGACTACAACTACTGGAGATATAAATAAGGTTCAAGGGAAATAGAATGAGTTCTATGATCAAATAAGGTTGGGAAACGCTGCATGCTGTATGATTCATAGAGTCTATTCATGTATTAAAGGCTCAGAAATGCACACAAGAAACCAGTTTGACATTGTTCAACCCAGCTTTACCTGAATATATTTATTCATTCATTCAGCAAGCATGTGGTAAGCACATATTATGATAGTATGTTTTTGGCACTGTGCTGGCCACTGGTCCCACAGAAGAGAATAAAATCAGCCAATGCCATGGCCTTTAGGGGATTAGGCAAACTATGTCAATTAATTGCCCCAGACTGGTATAATCTGACAGGTTTTGAGAAACACAATTTGGGAAACCTTGAGTTAAGGTGTTTAGATATTCTTGTTTGTGCTCTGGAACAGAATGGAGTGATTGACTGCCTGTCTCTCTGCCCCCATGTCTCCATGTTACACCAGTGCCCCAACTTCTTTGAAGAATGTTTCCTGCACCTCCTGCCTTCGGCATAGACATAGCTGATGACAAGGTAACTTTTAGGCCTCAGAAGTTGGTTACTTGGTCCAAAGTCACCCAGTTAGTTAGGGGCAGAACCAGAGCCAGAACCCCAACTCATTTGGTTCTAGGTCTACACTCATTCTATTTTTTGGGGAGAAGGGACAATTTGGAATACCCTTACCAGAGTATAGAGCAAATCACAGGCATTATTTTACCCCTAAAATTTTCAGTATGAAGCTCCAAAAGAAGAACTCTTAGAAACAAAAATAAATACATCACAATACCAGTAGGTGTTACGCTAGGTTACAAAAATTGGGTTTTAGTCTAGGTGCGAGGAAACCATTGGAGGACTTAGGACATGAACTGACTTATGCTTTTATAAGGTTGTGTTGATTGATGAAATGGAGAGAGGATTATAACAAGATGAGGAAAGAAATAGTGAGCCCTCTTAGGAGGATATTGCAATAGTCCTGACTAGGGATGATGGTGGCTATGTCAATTAATTGCCCCAGTAATGACAAGTAACAAACATCCCCAGAAACTCAGTGGTGTATAGACATAAGGATTTGTTTTTGTTCATCAGTTAATGGGACGTCTGGGTAGTTCTGCTGATCTGGACCAGGCTCAGCTGATTGTGACTGGTCTTGCCCATGTGTCTCTAATCAAATGTAGGTCAGGTAGGCAGCTCTGTGATGTTGCTGGGGTTTCTGATGTATTTGGGGGGGGGGGGGGCAGATAGCTATTGACTGTCTAGGATGACCTCAGCTAAGATGGCTGGGACAACTCTGCTCTCCTCTGTGTTTATGTTACATCTCTCTAATAGGCTAGCAAGGTCATATATTCATGGTAATCACAAAAAAAGTAAGAGAAAAAGTACAAACAAGCAGGCAGATTTTTAAGCCTTAACCTGTGTTAAGTTTGCTGCTATCCCATTGGACCAAGAAAGTGACATGGTTTACCCACAGTTAGTGTGGAAGGGCATTGCTCAAGGACAGGAATAAAGCAATGTGAAAAGACACAGGGCCAGTAGTACAGTCAATCTATTGTGTAATGCCAGAAGAGTGAAGGGCTATAATATTTTGGAGGTACAGTCCAAAGAATGTGCTGATGGATTAGATTTGAAGTATGAAAGAGAGGAATAAATCAAAGGTAACTCTTAAAATGTTGGCTGATGCTGAAACTGGTTTGGCTCAATGGATAGAGCGTTGGCTTGTGTACTGAAAGGTCCTGGGTTCGATTCTGGTCAAGGGCATGTACCTTGGTTGCGGGCATATCCCCAGTAGGGGGTGTGCAAGAGGCAGCTGATTGATGACTCTCTCTCATCGATGTTTCTAACTATCTCTCTCCCTTCCTCTCTGTAAAAATCAATAAAATATATATATATATAAAAAATGTTGGCTGAGCAGTGGAGAGGTGGTCAGATCATTTGCTCAGATGGTAAAGAGTAGGTAAAGAACCAGTTTTAGGGGAGTATCTAGAGTTGTGTTTCAGCCATTTTATGTTTGAGATACCTGTTGAGATTTAAATAAAGATGCTTGGTTTACAATTGGATATATAAATCTGAAGTTCTTGGGGACAGGGCTAAAAATGTAGATTTCAGATGGTATTTCATACCATGGAATTGGATGAGGTCATTCCTGAGAAGAATATATAAATGAAGAAGCAAAGCAAGCCCAGGATAGAGCCTTGGTACACACCCGTGTTTATAAGTAAAGCAGAAAAAAATAGAAGCTAATAAATGGGACTGAGAACATAAGATACAGCCTCTGAGATCAGAGAAAAATCCATGAAACTTGGTGTCACAGAGAACTTAGAAAAGTTACGCATTTCAAAGAGAGGGATGGTCAGTTGTGGTAAGTCAGATAAGAACAGGTAAAAAAAAAAGGAAAAAGAAAAAAAAAAGAACTGAGGTCAAGTAAAATAACAGAGTAACAATCAATGGGTTTGGTAAGAAGGAGGTCCTTGGTGACTTCGGTCATAGTGGAATGCTGGAGATAGAACTCCAACTGGAGGGTTTGGAGGAAAGCTCATGATGAGAAGTAGGAACAGCAATCCTAATTCCATTTTTTAAGAGCTGGTGCCGCAAAGGGAAACAGAAGTGACTTGGTATTTGGAGGTGAATGTAGGTCAGGGGAATGGTTTATGACCGGGCACGTAAGTGATGCTACTCTGCCAAAGGGGATGACCCAATAGAGGGATCAGGGGCATCAAAGAGAGGGGGAAACAGCAGGCCAGCCATGTTTGAGATGGCAAGAGACAATGGGATTGAGAATTTAAAAATAAACCAGTCTGTATATTACTTACTTCAGAGAAATTTGCATTCTATATTTTATTTCTAATTTTGTAATGAAAGGATATGTCCACCACTTGGACAGTTTCAGCCACAGCCAGGACTGGGACATATCTGAGTATTGTTGTCACACTGGGCAGGTTGAGTGCCTCTGTGTTAGGCTTATTACTCAGCTACTATTGTGGAGAAGGTACCGTTTTGGAATCATTCTGCTCTGTAGGTGGTGCTCAGTGTTTCTTATGATGATGGTGAAACTGGTAAATTCAGTTTCTTAGATTTTTGATATGGATAGCAAGTTGGGCAGGTTCTGAGCAGAGAGCTAAGAAGGGAGTATGAATTAATGTGCCACTTCCTTGTTCAGGTTTTATACCAGTATGACTTGATGTTTTGATAAATATAAAGTACCAATTTCACCCAGCAATGCAGGTAATACCACTTTTTTTGCATAGACTAGCAGACTTTAGGATGGTTGGCTAATGTAGTTCAGTAGATCCTAGACAAGATTCGCATTCTAGGATTTCAGCAAAGTGATAGAAATTTTGCTTTTTTTGTGTTTTTAAAGCCAGTGAAACTTTAATTTTAAAGGGTAATGTAAAGCAAATGTATTAAATAAATGGCAATTTAAAATGTATTTTGTGTACATTTGGTGGTATTTAAGTAACTATATTTATCAACCGTCCTGGGATATGTGTTTTGTACCGTGGGTACGTATGGTGGTTATCAAGGTAGGGGGGGAGGTAATAAAGTATAAAAGGGACCAAGTATAAAGTGACAAAAGATGATTTGACTTTGAGTGGTAGGCACACAATACAATATGCAGATCACGTATCATAGAAATGCACATTTGAAACCTATATAATCCTGTAAACCAATGTTACCCCAATAAATTTAACAATCTTTATGTAAAAAAATACAAACAACAGCAACAACAACAAAATTATATAGTATCATATGTCTCAGTTATCTATTACTACATAACAAACCACCCTCCACTTAAAGGCATACAACAGCAACCACCATTTTATCATACTCATCCTATGTAATAAAGAGGTAATGTGCAAATTGACCCTCACACCCTCACAAGATGGCTGCCTACAACCAGGCCAGCAGGGGGGGTTTAGTGAGGGATGACCAAATGACTAAACAAGCAGGCTGCATGGGATGACCAGGCCTGCAGGAGGGGGCAGTAAGAGGTGACCAGGCTGGCAGGTGGAGCAATAGGGGTGACCAGGCTGGTGGCGGGGAGCAGTTAGGAGCAACCAGGTCGGCAGAGATGGGGCAGTTGGGGGCGAATTGGCTGGCACTGAGGGGCAGTTAGGGGCAACCAGGCTGGCAGGGGGGGCAGTGAGGAACAGTCAGGCCAGCAACGGGGGCGGTGGGGGGTGTTAGGGGTGACTAGGCAGGTAGGCAGGTGAGTGATTAGGAGCCAGCGGTCCAGGATAGTGAGAGGGATATCCGACTGCTGATTGTTAGAGGGATATCGAGCCTAAACCAGCAGTCGGACATCCCTCAAGAAGTCTTGAATTGATTGGAGAGGGTGCAGGCTGGGCTGAGGGAACCCTCTCCCCCCCCCCCCCCCCGGCCTCCCATCCACAAATGTCATGTAATGGACCTCTAGTAGAATCTATAAGGATTGGACAGCACAAGATGTCGACTCCACAATGTGCTCTTATCTTTGAAATCTTGATAGCTGGGTGTGACTCAGACAACTTAGAATCCCCTGAAAGTTTTCTCCCTTTATATGTCTGGCTCCTAGGCTGGGATGACTTGAAAGATGAGTTCAGCTAGAATTCTCCGCTGGTACACCTGTGTGTGGCTTTTCCATTTGGCGCAAGCTTCCCTTACTCTGGTTGCTGGGCTTTAAGCGTGAGAGTCCAAAAGAACTAGGCAGGAGCCACACATTTTTATTTGCTTTATATCCCTGATACTTTTTGAACGTAGTTTGTAATTTTTATTTATTATAAGTAATATATGAGAAGGTTTTCTGTGGACTTAGTATTTTTGTCAGTTTGTTTGTTTTCCTCTTAGAGATCACGTATATAACAGCTCTTTAATAACTGAGCTCCACCAACCTTAGAAGTAAGGTTAACTATTTTTCTGGTCAAATTTGCCTTCTTGTTTTCGTATGCTCTGTGATTTCAGTTATGCTGGTTACCTTTGATGAGAGAGAAACATCGATCAGCTGCCTCTTGCACAGCCTCTACTGGGAATGTGCCTGCAACCAAGGTACATGCCCTTGACTGGAATCGAAACTGGGACCCTTCAGTCTGCAGGCTGACACTCTATCCACTGAGCCAAATCGGTTAGGGCGAGGAAGACATTCTTATAAAGGAGAGCTCACCCACCTTTATTTACTTTCACTTGTCTGCCTTGGTTCCCTTTCTCCTTGTCCTTCTCCTTTCGACTTATTCTATTCTCAGTGCTAAAGTGTTGGATGACAGGGGCATGGAAAACCATTTAAAGGAAAGCTCTTCAACATATTTAAAAATTTTTTGTTATGGAAAATTTCAAACAAAAATAGGGTAGTGTGAAGGAAAAGAGCCACATGCTGACCTGACAAGCTCAGGGGAGGCCTGCATGGCAGTCTTGCAAACTCAGAGACCTAAAATAACCACAAAAGATGGTTTGAAAATTAAATATCTAACTACACACAGGTTATAGTGGGTAGTCGTGTCCTAGACCGATATTTCACCTGACAACGATCAACTTAGACCTTCTTCTTCTTCTTTTTTAAAAAAAAA